CCCTTGGTCCCAGCAATTCCCATGAAGCAGCCTAAGATCTCATGGCAACTCTTGTCCCAGAAAGAGGGTGTGTAGGATTCCTCTGTGGGATCCTGGCCTGAACTGAGAGAATCTGGCTCTTGCAGTCCCTCCTGACAGTGCAGCCTCTGTTAAAATGGTAGGGGACCCTCACTGCTTTCCCAGCTCAATTGATGTGAGGGCATTTCTCAGGGGAGGGCTCCTCACAGGCCCACCTTGCCTCAGGCCTGATTTACATAGGAGCGCAAATGACTGTTAGGCCCAAGTGTGGTTCCATACCACAGCACTGTCACTCTGATAGAACAGAAAGAATGGACTTACGTACAAGTGATTTGATTTTTTTTTGAGATTTATTTATTTATTTATTTATTTATACAAGCACTGGGTACAGTCAGAAGCACGGGAGGGTGAGAGAATTCACCAGAGCCAGAGCGGGGAACAGAACAGGCAGACTGACAAAATTCACTACTGAGGGGAGCAGCAGATGCGGCAGGAGAGGTCTGAGCGCTATGTGGGACCCTCGCCGGCAGTCGGGGATCGAACTGGCGCTGCAGAGGCTGCGGGCAGCTTCTCAGCCCAGCGCTCAACTGCTGCGCCACCAGGGGAAGCCCGATTTGATTTTTTTAATGAAATTTTCAAATGTAGAAAAGTGCAATGAATGTGATATGCCCGTCGTCACTGGGCTTTCCATTATGAAGAGGGCATGCAGTTCCCTGGAGAGGAAAAACTTTCTAAAAACCACAGCATGATCTTGTAACTAGCATCATGATATTGTGATTTTGTGTTAAAGTGTTAATTTGTTCAATGTAAGCATATCAAACATACCTCCCTATTCCTTCGTTTAGAAGTACAGCTAGGGGCCTCCCTGGTGGCGCAGCGGTTAAGCACTGGACTGCGAAGCTGCCCGCAGCCTCTGCAACGCTGGTTCAATCCCCATGGCACGCAGACCTCTCCTGCCGCATCTGCTGCTCCCCTCAGCAGTGTATTTCGTCAGTCTGCCTGTTCTGCTCCCCGCTCTGGCTCTGGTGAATTCTTTCACCCTCCTGCGCTTCTGACTACCCAGTGCTTGTATAAATAAATAAATCTTTTTTAAAAAAAATAGAAGTACAGCTGGAGCCTCTGTGTTAGAAGGGACCTCTTCCCATTTCTAGAAGACCCATCTCTCAGGGAGCCCTTACTGAGAATTGTGGGTCCAGGGAGATGAGAGTTGAGAGGAAGTTCCCTAGGCCCACAGCTGCAGAGGCTGGGGTGGACACTGCTGGCTCTACATGGCTTGCTGCTTGGGATGGGGGGAATAGGTCTAAACACTATGTGCCAGGGGATAGGCACTTGGCTCTTCACCCCAGGTGATGTGGGGATCTAAGGCTCCTCACTTTGCCTCAGCAAGGAGCTCCACCAGATAGCATTTACAGTGCAACCTGTGTGTGGCCAGTCTGCTCTCGGCCCTGTGGGAAAGGGTAGGATTTGGGAGCTTGATCCCAAAGCTTGCTCTCTGAGAAACTTATAGTTTACTGGGTGGGAGGCAAAGAAATATACCTGAAGAGAAGCAATTAGGTGCCACCAACTGTGCTTGCACAAGGGTTCCGGCCATTGTTGGCTTGGCTGAGAGCTCTGGGAGTGACCCTAAGTCAAGGAGTGTGCACAGGGCTGGCCAGCCCGGAGGTCCCGAGGGCAGGGCCTCCGGCTTCCCATTCTCTCACGGTTCCCACAGCGCCCAGGGCTGCTAGGCTCACAATGAGCTTCAATGCTTGCTTTTGACTGAACCTTTCCCCTTTGTATCTGTCTCTGCATCTCTCAGCATCTCTGTCTCTACAAGTCTCTGGCTCTCTTGTTTCCCAACATCCTTCCCGAGCCCCTGGGGAGCAGAGCTGGGGGAGCCGGGCAGTGGGAACAGGACAGCGTCCTGTTCTCACCAAGGACAATAAGGGCCGGAAAGGGCTGGAGCCAAGGCCTGGCGCAGACTCCCCCTCCCTGCCTGCCCTGGGCGCCCCCACCCCCGCCCTGACCCTCTGGCATGCCCTAAATGCCAGGCGTCCCCTCTTGCCAGTGCCAGTCCCAGGGGAGTCTAGACTCGCCCCGGTAGGGGAGCCTTCAGTGCCCTTCTCTGGCTTCTCACTGTCCTCTTCTCAGGTCCTGTCACCTCCTGCCCCAAGGACCAAGTGCCTGGGGCTAGGAGCCTGCTGTCCCACCCTCCCCACTCACATCCAGGGCCCCCTCCCCGTATTATTTACTCCTGTTTCCGGAGCTGGCTGCGGGTGTCAAGGGTGTTGAAGCCACGTGTGAGGGAGCAGGAGGAAACATCTGGTTTCCCTCTGTCCTCCGGGGGCGGGCCACCTCTAGCTCCCCACAGGCTTCCAGCCCCAGGAGTCCAGGGCCAAGAGGTTAGCACCTTTATCCTACTCACCTTCAGGTTTCCAGAACTCATGCTGGCCTCACACCCCCTTACTTAATGATGGTGATTAGGTGGCTGGAATACCCCAGCCAGGGTTAATTGGTAGGTCTCTGGGCAGCCTGCAACTAGGCACCCAAGATAGGCAGGGTGGAGAACTAAGATCGGCGCCAACCTGCCTTGTAAATGCACCCATCCCCTGAGGAAGGGGTCATTAGTCCTGTGGCAATACTGCCCCTGATGCCTACGCAGTGGGTGGCCAGGTCCCTTGGCATTGCCCTGGTACCTGCTCTCCGTCTCTTCCTCAGCCTCCTCTAGCCTGACCCCACCCAAGTTCCCATCTTGGGATGCATGGTACCCTCAGGTGGCCAGGTACCCCTGCTATCTCTGCTCACCTGAGCTGGGACCTGGCCCCTCTGCCCACTGCTTTACCCCAGATTAATAAAATTAAGGTTTGAGTGTGATCTAGAACTCAGCCTCCCTGTACATCCAGGGACCTCCCCACCCTCACCCCCCAGGACCATTTGGACTACCCCTCATCCCTCAGATGGGCCCACACATGGCCACCTGTCAACCACTAGGTGTTGGGAGTCAAGGGCTGCCACTCCCTCAGGGGAGGCTCTGGTCTTCATTTAACTCTCTGCTCCACTTCCGGCCTGGAGGGCCAAGATGTAATTCAGGCTTCAGTTCTTCCAAATGGGCCAGTCTTTTAGGTCCTCCAAGGAGTTTCCATGTGGAGACCCAGCAACAATTCTGAAATGCAGCAGCTCCCCTTCCGGGCCTCAGTGCAGGATTGTATGAAAGTGTTGCTAGTCGAGGACAACGCGGGCTCATGGCGCCCTCTGCAGGAATCCCGAGTGAACTGCATAGCACTCCCACCGTCCAGGGAAAGGAGCGAGGGTCTGGGATTCTGGTCGCAAAAGCAAACAGGGTGGGGAAAGTCTCTAATCCTCCTTTGACTCACTTCACCTCCCATTAAAGTTTTTTTTTTTTTTTTTTGGCATAGAACTGGGGTGTAGGCCAGAGGTGCGGGGGCGTGACAGGATGCACCAGAGACAGTGGAGAGCAGAACAGGTGGATTTACTGAACTACACTAAGGGGAGCAGCAGGCTAGACAGGAGAAGTCCGCTGTGCCTTGTGGGTCAGCTCCCTGGCAGGGATCAAGCTCAGGCCATAGAGGTGATAGCGCTGAGACTTAATCCCTAGGCCACCATTTAAGAATTTTCTTTTCGGGCCTCGCCGGTGGCGCAGTGGTTGAGCGCTGGGTTGCGAAGCTGCCCGCAGCCTCTGCAGCGCCGGTTCGATCCCTGGCTGCTACCCGGCCACCGGGTGAGGGTCCCACATGGTGCGCAGACCTCTCCTGCCACCTGCTGCTCCCCTCAGCAGTGTACCTCGGTCCTTCTGCCTGCTCTGCTCCCAGCTCTGGCTCTGGTGAATTCTCTCACCCTCCCACGCTTCTGACTGTACCCAGTGCTTGTATAAATAAATAAATCTTTAAAAAAAAAAAAAAAGAATTTTCTTTTCTAGACGGCAGGTTCTTTTGCAGGCAGCTTTACTGCCCACCACAAGGCACTGGAAAATACAAGGCTGAGCAAAATGTGCACACTCATGCCATGCAGCAAGAGGGTGCCCAGGCATCCTCCAGAGACGCACTCCCCATGGCAGAGCACGAAGTAGGACCTCATTTCTATCAAAGCAGGCTCAGAGATTATGGCCTTGTCTCTAACATTGTGCATACTTGGCTAAAACTTAGGAAGTTCCTAATCTCTTCGCTGTGAGACGAAGAGAAAAAATGAAGGCATGAAAACAAAAAGGGGGGTCTCCCTGGTGGTGCAAGGGGTTAAGCACAGCACTGTGAAGCTCTCTATAGCCTCTGCAGCAGCCAGGGAGTTACCTACATGGCGCAGCAGACCTCTCCTGTCACACCCACTGCTCCTCTCAGCAGTGCATTTCAGTCAATCCACCTGTCCTGTTCCCCACTGTCTCTGGTGAATCCTCTCACCTCTGGCCTGTACCGCAATTCTTGTATGCATAAATGAATAAATCTTTAAAAAAAAAAAACAACAAAGAGGATCAGGCAGAAATCAACCTGGGGAGTCTTTCTAAGCACTTCTGCCCTGGAGTAGAACACATGGACCCAGGAGGGAAACCTTGTAGGGAATTCTCACTTGAGGGTGGGGAGGTGAGGGGGGCTCATTCCCTCAGGGTGGAGAAGTTGGAGTGACAAAACCTCCATGGGTAGAAATGGGACCCATGCTGAGGTGTAGGAGTGGAGGACCTTTGGCCTTCTTCACTCTCTGGTTGCAAGTTCTAACAGGCAGGACTTCCTGCACTGCAGCCTTTACCCCTGTTCCCGAAGGTGACGACCACAGATCACTCATGCATTCTTTTTCCACAATGACACTCACACAAGTATATGTCACATTTGGTAAATGTAGTGTGGTAAAACATTTGGTAAAAATGAACCTTGGAAGGAAAGTCCCACCATGCTCAAGGTCTGAAAACCTTGAGCAGTAGGTGCCCATCTGCCCATGTCCTGCACACCCATGCAGGTACTGGCAGAAGAGGACCAAGCATATCACAGCTCACAGAGTTACAAAGAATCCACTTTATTGGACATTCAGGGTCAGTTTCTCTTTTTGCCCTTGCCCGTGACCTTAGCTGGTGTGAGGACTGGAGCTGTTGCCTGGTACAGAGTGGAGGAGATCTTGTTGATGTAGTATAGACCAACCATGGAGAAGATGAAGCTATAGGGTGAAGACAGAAAGGTCATGGCATCAGTGGGCACGCTGCCAGCCTGGTACCTCATAGGGAAGACACCCAGCATCAGGAAAGAAACCAGGTTCAGGTTTAGAAAAATGGGGAAAGGCAACAGAGTGAGAACAGGGAGTTGGGGGAAGGGATGGGAAAGGTCTGGAACCATTACAAAGGAGGATCCAGTACCAAAGGGCAGGGTGCTACACCCCTTACTTAGTTGTCAGGCACTTACCAGGTAGTGACACAGACTCGGTGAATGAGGCCCGATGCAAAAAGAGCCAATAGGAGGCAGAGGAGAACTGGGGAGGCAAGAGGGGACAAGGAAGGTGGTGGTCAGATTGGAAGTACCAGGTATATGTGGAGTCTAGGAGAAATCTGGGGCCCTCTGAATCTTGGGGAACCTCCATGGTAGGATATGGCATGACAAGAGCATGAGGACCTTTGATAACCTGAATAATGCCCAGAAAATGGATGCAGGAGATGTAATCTCATTACCAGCTTTGTCCCAAATATGGCTGAACTTTCTTATCCTGGCTTTTCTGTGATAAGGAGGAAAACCAAGAGCACAGTCTGAAGGGCAAGGCTTGCTCCTACTTAGGGAAGAGGGTCAGGGTCTCCCAGTGGAAGCCAGCCACCAATGGTTGGATCAGTACATTAAGCTGGAGGGCTGTAGCGGCGCTGAGGGCCTCACTCCTCCACAAAGGATATCTAGAGTAGGACTAGAGAGAAGGCAGGAGGGCGGAAAGCAAGGGAAGAACGTTGCCCATTGGCCCATAACAGAGGTTTCAGAAATAAATGAAGATAATACACATGGAAACAAAATTTAGGAGAGAAGTGTAGGGGTGGTGGAGGTGCTGGATGGCGCTCTGGAAGCCTGCAACAAGGCTAGGTGGAGAGAGCAAGACCTAGAGAAGAGGAAAGAAGAGAGGACCACGGTATAGGCCTTTGTTCTACCAGATGAAGGCTTCACATGAGATTCATCTGCTGTCAATTTTGGAGCATGTGGCATCCTTAGGTGATCTGGCCTTGACGCCTAATTTGCTTTATGAACTTAATTCCCCATAAATAACTAAGTCATCAATTCTTGATTACATGAGCAACAAGGACTATTTCAAACATAAAACAATCTAATAGTTCTTCTAATGTGGCCAGGATTCCTGCAGAAACAGAAATTTCCTACAGAAACAGAAACACTTAGGCCCTTCACAATCATCATTCACTAATACTGGAACAGTCTCACATCAAAAGCCCTCAATGAACTTGGCGCTGCTTCTTCTGTGGGAACAAGAACTGGATCTTCCCTGGGAGCAGGCCAGCAGGGGCTGAATTTCTTGCTTTCAGAGACCTCTCCCAGCTCCAATTCCAGAAGCTAGATCAGGTGCTGAATCCAAAAGCATATACTGGGCCTCCCTGGTGGCGCAAGGGGTTAAGCACGGCACTATGAAGCAATCCCCAGCCTCTGCAGAATGAGTTCCATCCCCAGCCGACCGAGCAATCCACATGGCACAGCAGTCCTCTCCTTTCTCGTCCACTGCTCCCCTCAGCAGGGTATTTCAGTAAGTCTGCCTGCCTGTTCTGTTCCCCACTCTGTCTCTGGTGAATCCTCTCCCCCCCCACTCCCCGCAACTCTGGCCTGTACCCCAGCTCTTGTATGTATAATAAATCTAAAACAAGCATCTACTTCCAGATAGTCTTAATAAATTGATTTCCTTCTCTAAACTAACCACCATCTAAGCACCTGAAAATTCAGTCCAATGTTGTGGAGAGTACAAGGTTAGAGGAGAGGGTTCATGTACTCAACCCCCGAATTTCACTTACTCTCAGGAAAGATCTTTGCTTGGAATCCTTTGCCAAAGACAAGATTCTCCAGATTATTGAAGGCCTGGTAGAGGGAGTTAAGGAATGAGGCATGCAATGGGGGCAGAGCTGAGTAATGGGTAGGGCACTCCCTGGTTTCCCACAGTCAAACACCTCTTCCCCTCCACCGCAAGGATACAGTGAGAGAGAAGACGAACAGGCCTGAGCCAAGCAGGCCGCCCTGGATCGTGAGCCACTCCGTGGACGCCAGCTGGCGGCTGTACATCTGCATCCCAGCGAAGAGCAGCAGGGACAGGAGGGAGGAGAGCGCCAGCGACGTGCCCGTACCCACCACTGGAGGAACGACACAAGAGAGGGAGAGTCAGGCCCAGCCCTTCCTGAGGAGCAAATTCGGCAGGTCCCAAGCCGGAGTTAGGTCAGTCCCAAGTCCTTGCACTCCCGGGGCTGCAGCTACACCCCCCAAGTCCTCATACCCCGCAGCGACCCTCAACTCCGGATTCCCTAAACCTCCATTCCCAAGGAAATGCCAGCCCTCTGGAGCCCAGTACACGTCAGCTCTGTGGGGAGAGCAAGAAAGCTGGTTCGCCCCCACTCCGACCCCTACAAGTTCTCCCGGGGATCCCGCAGGCCCCGTTACCCATCATGCCCTGCCCGTGGGTCCAATCGGCGCCTGCAGCCAAGAAAGGGTACCGAACCGAGCGCGGGTGGCAACGCGCATGCGCCCGCCCCGACGTGGCCTTGCCCTCCCGCCCCGCCACGTCCACCTTTTTCTCACTGTCAGCGCCTGGACGCGGCGCCCTCTTCTGGCAGGGAGGAAATACTGCGTCGAACGGCTTCCTTGGTCACCGCCCTTTCCTCGCGCGAGCATCTGCTGCCTCACAGGACACGCTGCACTTGGCTCTCCGACACCTCGGGACCGTGACAACAACCTCCAGCTCACATCGGCTTTCTCGCCATTTCTGTCAGTTCTGGTGCCTGTTCCTCAAACCTCCCTCCCCCCTGATCTCGACATCTCCCGTGAACTCCTGCCCAGCTGAAATCTGGTCCTCCCGTCCTGGAACCCATCTTCGGCAACGGTCCTTCCGCTTTATATAAGTGAGAGCGAGAGCCAATGGAGAACGCGAACACGAGAGACGGCGCTTCCCTCAAACGCCGCTCCAAGTTACCCCCCCCCCCGCCCTCTGAGCACCACGTGGGGGCGAACTCTTCCCACCTCCTACTCGGACCGGCGCGCGAGGCCGGCCCGGGAGCATGCGCGGTGGCGCCTCCCGCCCCTCCCCACACCCCCACCGGCTCCTGCATTAAGCCCGGGGTTCGCAGCCGCAACCGGGATCGGGCACCCGGGGGCGGGCGGGCAAGGTAGGGCCATGGCTGAGGGTGAGGATATGCAGACGTTCACTTCCATCATGGATGCGCTGGTCCGCATCAGTGTGAGTTAAGGGGGGTCGAGGGAAAGGGAAGGGGGAGTCGAGGGCTCTGGGCAGACTGGTCCTTGAACAGGTGGGGATTCGGCAAGATGCTGGAATGTGGACAGGCGGGCCGGGGATGGCGGGACGGGGGGTGGGGGCCGGGGCCGGGGGCAGTGCTGACAGGGTAATCCCGGGGGCAGCCAGAAGTGAGCGCCGGAGGCGTCCATCTGCCGGGGTGTGAAGAACTGAGCGCGGCCGGGACGCAGCGGGAGGGCTGGGGTGACTGACAGCGGGGCACCAGGGCGGGGGCAGCTGTCAGCAGGGCCCAAGGGCTGGGGCGACTGGGCAGTGGGGCTGTGCGATGGCGAGGGGGCGTGTGTGAGCCTGGATATTTTCTAAGAAAACTGAGGACAGGTTGGGGGCGGTGAAGGAGCCTCCCCAGGGTGCAGTTCCCAATTTGGACCCCACGGCGAGACCCCACCCCACCACACCCCCACTCTGGGCTGCCTCCGAGCCTGCGGTTGTCATAGCAACCCGTGCCCGGCTCTCCCAGGGGCGGTGCCAACCCTGCTCCCCCCCACCACTTCCTTCCCCCTCCCTCTCCGTTCCTCCCTCCTTTGTGTCAGCTGCGCCCCTGACCGGGATGGCGGCGAAGAGAGGGACCAAGGTGAGGGGTGGGGGTGGGGCAAAGCTCGAGGACCCTCGCTACCCAAAGAGGGAGGGGTACTTCCGGCGGGGAGGGGGCGAATAGGCGGGGCTCGTGTTTCCCCCTAGCCTGGGGAGGGGGTTGCGGCTAACCTGGTCGTAGAGGAGGCAGGAGCCTGGATAGGAGGGGGCTAGGGGAGGAATGAGGGACATGGGTTAGCGTCGGGGCAATGGAGGAGACGGATGGGACAGTGAAGGATGAGGGATGGAGGCCGGGGCGGCCGCAGGCCGGAGCCGCGGCAGGAGGACGAGGATGGATGGGGTGAGCAGGACGATGGAGAGCGAGCGGCTTTTCGCCCCTGGGAGGAGTCCTGCGGGGCGGGCTGAGGGGAGGGAATGCCCGCGAAGGGGGCGGGGGTCCGCACTGAGCTGCAGAATGGGCGGTGTCCTTGAGAGAAATGCCTGGCGCTGGAGGCCCACAAATGTGAGGGGGGCGGGGGAGGTGGGCATACTGGGGGCCTTGGGTCGAGTGAGAGGTGCAGCGGCCCTGGCTCGGCTCCAGGGCACGAAGGGGGTGGGGCTTGAGGCTGGGAGAAGCTCCAATTTCCAATCCCCAGCTTCCACCCATCTCCTTAGGCCTCTAGCTCTGCAGAAGGGAAACAGGCTAGAGAGATCGATACCTGGGAAGATCTGTCAACTAAGCCGGGCTTCGTGCTGGGGAATAGCCATAGGTAGCTTGTCTTACCCGTTCCTGAGGCCCTGTTGGGTCTCTCAGGGCAGCTGAGAGGCCATGGAGATACTCTCAGGTGTCCAAGCTCTGATCCAACCTCCTGATCCTTCCACAGACAAGCATGAAGAACATGGAGAAGGAACTGCTGTGCCCAGTGTGTCAAGAGATGTACAAGCAGCCGCTGGTGCTGCCCTGTATGCACAACGTGTGCCAGGCCTGTGCCCGGGAGGTATTGGGCCAGCAGGGCTATGTAGGCCATGGTGGGGACCCCAGCTCTGAGCCCACCTCACCAGCCTCCACCCCCTCCACCCGGAGTCCCCGCCTCTCCCGAAGAACTCTCCCCAAGCCAGAGCGTTTGGATCGGCTGCTTAAGTCAGGTGGGGCTGGAGCCAGGGCAGTGGGAATGGGGTATCTTGAGTTGTCCGTCAGGAAGATGGAAGGGATTCATCACTGGTCTGTTGGATGGGGGATACTGTCCATCAGGCTCTAGTAAGAATTGAGCTGTGGCACAATAAAAATTTCTTTTTTGGTGAACGGTCTTCCCCCACCCCCAGTTAGCTATAAATTTTCCTCTCTACTTCCCTGGCCCATTCACAGGCTTTGGGACATACCCCGGGAGGAAGCGAGGTGCTTTGCACCCCCAGGTGATCATGTTCCCGTGCCCAGCCTGCCAGGGTGATGTGGAGCTGGGGGAGCGGGGCCTGGCAGGTCTTTTCCGGAACCTGACTCTGGAGCGCGTGGTGGAGCGGTACCGCCAGAGTGTGAGTGTGGGTGGTGCCATCCTGTGCCAGCTGTGCAAGCCCCCACCCTTAGAGGCCACCAAGGGCTGCACCGAGTGCCGTGCCACCTTCTGCAATGAGTGCTTCAAGCTCTTCCACCCCTGGGGCACCCAGAAGGCCCAGCATGAGCCCACCCTGCCCACCCTCTCCTTCCGCCCCAAGGTGAGCCAACCCTGTGGGCCCTGAGAATGCAGGGGTATGGTGATTCTGGGCGGGTGGGGGTGCCCAGCATTGTGAGGTCCCCAAAGGAGGTGGGCAGGGAGGGGGGGTGGTTGCCATTCCGAAGCTGCTTTCTGTAACATAAAAGGCACTGGACAAATCTTTGAACATCTCTGAGCCTCCATCTCATCTGCTAAATAAGAATGATAATATCTACCCTGAAATATCCATACCTGCAGGCTTGTTGGGATCCCATGAGGTAGCGTTTGTGAAAGTTTTCTGTTTACTAGCAAGGTCTGTATGAGCAAGTATTTATCAAACATCTTTATGACTGGTGTGATCTAGGCAATGGGGATATGGCAGTGAACATCTTGTTAGGAAGAGGTTAATTATTAGCCAAAAGGCTAAGATTAATTGTCTTCATTGTCACTGTTAGTACTGCACACCCCTGTGAAGTAGCTGAAGGGAGGACTACTGATGCCTGGAGCCACCTGGAAAGCCTCGCTTTGATGCCAATATGTACCACCAGGTGGCACTGTGGAGCACCAACCAGCAGCTGAACTCCCCTCCACCCATATCTGTCCAGTGAAGGGAGGTTCCCCCGCTGGCTTGGTCAGAGTCCTTACGCACCATTGGCTGACTACTCTTTGTTCTTTTTGTCCTTAGGGCCTGATGTGCCCAGACCACAAGGAAGAGGTGACCCACTACTGCAAGACGTGCCAACGGTTGGTGTGCCAGCTCTGCCGTGTGCGGCGTACCCACAGTGGGCACAAGATCACACCAGTGCTCAGTGCCTACCAGGCCCTAAAGGTGAGGGCCCTGCCTCGCTCAACCCCAATGCAAACCCACACTCACACCCCCTCATAACTTCTCTGAACTGCTGGCTTCTGTGGAGCCGGGCATGATGCCCACCTCTTTCTTCCCCCTCAGGACAAGCTGACAAAGAGCCTGACATACATCCTGGGAAACCAGGACACAGTACAGACCCAGATCTGTGAGCTGGAGGAGACCGTGAGGCACACTGAGGTGAGGGAGGGCAAGGAAGTGGGCCCTGGGCCCTGCTTGGGCGTGGGAGCAGCAAGGAGCAGCAGGAACAGGAAGGGGGAGTGGAATGGCCCAGTCATTTGGTTGCAAGTTCAGAAAGCCTACGTTGGGGTCCATGGAGGTGTCGAGATTCTAGTTAAGCTCGGTGGTCAGTAACGGCAATGCCTGGGCCAGGCTGAACCTGAGGCTATAGAGGGGATAGGGTGGCTATCACCCAGGACAGGGAAAGCATGGAAAGCCCCGGGGACATAAGTCAGATGCCCTCCGGCTCAACTGTCTACTGAGGATGGCACACGTCCCTGGAGCTCTGATACCATCTGCCAGGCTGCTGAATCAGCTCACATGGGGATGGACCATGAGGATGGTGGATGTTAGTGCTGTCAAAGTGGATGTCAGTGCAGTCATGGCCTCTTTTATTTGGGGGAGTCCATAAAGGGTCAGGATTATTGGGGCACCGAGAAAGGTTAGCACAAATGGTCAGGATTTGACCCCATCTGGATGTGCAGATGCCTTTGGAGGCATGAACCTGGCCTGTTGGAACGGGTGGGTAGGGTTCCCCCTGTTCCTTTATGATCCTGGTCATGGTGTGGTGCCCCAGGAGGCTGGCCCAGGTGCTGCCATCAAGAAGATAGTGAGTGCTGCTCTCTGGGCAGGTGAGTGGTCAACAGGCCAAGGAGGAGGTATCCCAGCTGGTGCGGGGTCTGGGGGCCGTGCTGGAGGAGAAGCGGGCCTCACTGCTTCAGGCCATTGAGGAATGCCAGCAGGAGCGGCTGGCCCGTCTCAGCGCCCAGATCCAGGAGCACCAGAGCCTGCTGGATGGCTCAGGTCTGGTGGGTTACGCCCAGGAGGTACTTAAGGAAACAGACCAGCCTTGCTTTGTGCAAGCGGCCAAGCAGTTGCACAACAGGTACTCAGGGGCATGGCACAGGGGCATGGGCTCCTGGGGGGCAAGGGCATTGTGGGTGTAGTTAATGTCTAAGGAAATATCTAGCGTATTGCCCAATGGAGACCTGGGCCCTGAGATTTTCACCAGGCCAAAGTGATACCCAGCTTGCCTGAAGGGACAAGAAAGAGACCAAAAGCAGATGCTGAGGCTTTAGGGCCAGGCACAGCTGAATCATAGGGAAGGGCGACTGCCCAGATGGCAGTGCCTAACCCTCACCTGCCCCCATCCCAGGATTGCCCGAGCCACTGAGGCCCTCCAGACATTCCGGCCAGCCGCCAGCTCCTCCTTCCGCCACTGCCAGCTGGATGTGGGGCGTGAGATGAAGCTGCTGACAGAGCTGAACTTCCTGCGAGGTGAGGAGATGGCCAGGCCCCATGCCCACTTAGCGCCTTCCTCCCTTCTTCCCCAGCAGCGGGCCCGGGGGGCAGAGCCCACCAGGGACCTCCCGGCCTCCTGCCCGGCCTGGCCAGCCACGCCTCCAACCTAGCTCACCCAGCCACACCATCCCACCGCGCTCAGCGCTGCTTCTCCCTCTCTTTGTTTATAGGCTGTGGCCACCGCGGACTCTGCTCCGGAGCACCCCAGGCAAGTCAGCGGCCCTGTCCCCGGGGGCCCGGCCCCCTGCCCTGCCCCATCGCTGCTCCCATGCAGCTCAGCCACCCTCTCTTTGCTTCCTCTCCTCCTGCCTTAATCAGACTTCTCTTCCTCCCGCCCCCACCAGTGCCCTCTGCCTCCTCTGCATTCCTTAGGCTTAACTCCTAGTCCTTGCTCCCCTGACCTTTGTCCACCTGACCCTTGCCCTCTGGACTTCCCCTCACCTCCCCTGACCTCCCTGTCATCGAGCTTTTGCTTGCACTCTGCTATCCCGATCTTCGGTCTTGTTGATTCCAGCCTCCCTCTCTCCCGCTCTGTCCCCTCCTTCCCATTCAGTGCCCTCTTGCCTGGGTTCCAGTGGCCTTTGCCCATCTACTTCTGGGGCTCCTCTTTACTCATAAAATGTCAAGCTGGAAGGGTCCCCATCTGGTCTGATACCCTTATTTGACAGAGGAGAAAACTGGGGTCCAGAAAGGAGAAGTGACCGACTTAAGGCCAGGGTGAGATAGTGGCAGACAGGCCAGCACACAGGCCACCTGCACCCTGCCCAGTGTCCTCCTGCTTCTCCTTCTCTCCTTGGGCTCTGCACTGTCCATCCCACACTGCCCAGTGTCCCGATGGGCCTTTTGCCCAGTTCCCCTCACCCACACTCACCCCCCGGCTCCCGCTGCTTTCCCTTTTCCCGCCTGCCCTCCCTGCCAGGACCGTGGCCAGGTGCTGACTGACCCCGCTGTCTCTTCCCACAGTGCCCGAGGCCCCCGTCATCGACACCCAGCGCACCTTTGCCTACGACCAGATCTTCCTGTGTTGGCGGCTGCCCCCTCACTCGCCACCTGCCTGGCACTACACCATCGAGTTCCGGCGCACAGATGTGCCTGCCCAGCCGGGCCCTGCCCGCTGGCAGCGGCGCGAGGAGGTGAGGGGCACCAGCGCCCTGCTCGAGAACCCTGACACGGGCTCTGTGTACGTGCTACGTGTACGTGGCTGCAACAAGGCCGGCTACGGGGAGTACAGCGAGGATGTGCACCTGCACACGCCCCCTGCACCAGGTGAGTGGGCAGGTGGGTGGGCACAGGGTGGCACAGAAGGCACGGGGTTTGCTGAAGCTGGGCAGGCACTGAAGAGAGGGTCTCAGAGGGGGTGACTCATGCTCACTAGCGCTGCAGCAGGACTGCCTGGGCTCGAATTCCAGCACCACCTCCCATCACCCATGTGGCTTTGGGCGCGTTGTTCACCCTCTCTGAACTTCCAGTTCCTCCTCTGGGGGGATTTCCATACTTTCTTCTCAGGGTTGTGAGAAGTAAGCGAGATGATACATGTGCTGTTTTAGCAGAGTCTCCAGTTCATAGTAAGGGCTCAATAAATGTTGGGAGTGACCCTGTAGAAAATAGTGCAGCCCCTAGGGCATTGGCAAGCCGAGAAGTGTCCCCGTCCAAGTCGGGGCATAAGAGGTGGGGGTTGGGTGTAGGGCCAGGTGTGAGCCCCAGGTGTGGGCTGGCAGGTGCAGGCAGATGAGCAGAACAGTAATGGGGACAGTCTGTGGGTCAGCCTTGGGAAATGGGTTGGAGAAAGCATCGCCAATCAGTGGGTCTGGGAGACGGGTTTCTGTGCTCACTGGTCAACACTAAAATGCTTCCTGAGGTCCCATGCCTACCTGAGGTCTACCCTTCTTTTCTCCTTATGCCCCCATTCCAGTTCTCCAGACTCCGCTCCCCAGAGACCCCTGCCCACCCCATAGCAGCTTGTCCCACGTTCTGAAACCTCCAAGTATCTCATGCTAACACCTCATGGTCCCCAGTGCTCGTGTCTCGCCCTGAAGTCCTTCCTCTGTCTCAACCCTCCCCAACTCCAGTCCTGCACTTCTTCCTCGATGGCCGCTGGGGCACCAGCCGAGAGCGACTGGCCATCAGCAAGGACCAGCGGGCAGTGCGGAGTGTTCCAGGGCTACCCTTGCTGCTGGCTGCCGAGCGGCTCTTGACTGGCTGCCATCTGAGCGTGGATGTGGTCCTGGGTGATGTGGCGGTCACTCAGGGCCGCAGCTACTGGGCCTGCGCCGTGGACCCCGCCTCCTACTTGGTGAAGGTGGGCGTGGGGCTAGAGAGCAAGCTCCAGGAGAGCTTCCAGGGTGCCTCCGACGTGATCAGCCCCAGGTCAGGCCTCTCTGGAAGGGGTGGCTGGGGGCTGGGGACATGGCAGGGTGGCATGGGAAGCACACACTTGCTGGGAGGAGATTGGGAGGAAGTAGTAGGGGCATGGAAGTTGGGGTGGGGTGCCTGTGGCCAGGGGCAATGTGGGCTCAATGATAGGGTTTGACTTTTTTGGAGAAAAGGATGACAGCAGAGAGAACCTTCTCTACTTCCTCCATCAGCCACTCAGGACTAGACCATCTCTCCAAGTCCCCACACCCCTTCCCTCGCATCCACCATCCTTTCTCTACAAAACCTTTCCTCTCCAGTATCTCTTTCATCCACTTCTTTTCTCATCATCCTAAAGTTCTCCCCTTAAACTTTCCATCTCCATGTCCTCCTATTCCCAACATCCTACTTAACACTCTCCCATGCATGCTTTTCTCTGTTACTCTTTCTCCCCATACTCTGTCCCCCAACATCCCACTTCTTCAACATCGCCCCCAAACCCTATATCCCCAACTCCACACTCCTCTACATCCTCCGTCTGTGACACAGGTCACCCCAACCTCTCTCCTAACCTCTGTCTTCCCCGCCAAATCTCGCTCCTGCAGGTACGACCCTGACAGTGGGCATGACAGCGGTGCTGAGGATGCCACCGTGGAGGCCTCACCACCCTTCGCTTTCCTGACCATCGGCATGGGCAAGATTCTTCTGGGATCCGGGGCCAGCTCAAACGCAGGGCTGACAGGGAGGGACGGCCCAGCAGCCGGCTGCACTGTGCCCCTGCCACCCCGCCTGGGCATCTGCCTGGACTACGAGCGGGGCCGGGTGTCCTTCCTGGATGCCGTGTCCTTCCGTGGGCTCCTGGAGTGCCCCCTGGACTGCTCAGGGCCTGTGTGTCCTGCCTTTTGCTTCATTGGGGGTGGTGCAGTTCAGCTACAGGAGCCTGTGGGCACCAAGCCCGAGAGGAAGGTCACCATTGGGGGCTTTGCCAAGCTGGACTGACCCTCTCGGCCCTTCTTGGACCCTGGCCTCCTAAGCCTCCTGGTGCCAGGTTACTCCTCCGGCAGCTTGTGCCCCAGACTCTTCCTGCTACGTGGTCCATCCCTTAACCTATGTCTGTGTCTTCCCTCAGCCTTCTCTTAACCAAGGGGCTCTTCTCTGCCCACCTCTCTGGATGTCTCCCGTTCCCTCCATTGTCTGTTCATCCAGGCCCCCGCCCCCACCAATTCCCTGTCCTCTGCCCTGCCCTTGGCGTCTCACCTGAGTTATGGAGAGAGCCCCTTGCCCATCCTTGTCCCATGCTTCTCCCCAGCTGGTTGAGAGGGAAGGCACCTGGAACACTGGGCGTGATCCCCAGCTCTGCCCTCTGCCCTGCCAAGCTTCCCGTACCATGTCTGCGAACTGCAGCCTTGGGGCGGACACTGCCCAGGCACACTTCCCCTGGTGAGGGGACGGGGACCTCATCACTCTGCTTTATTTGGGTTCCCATGCCCCTTAGCCGCATGCCTCTTATATCCCTCCTCTCCCTCTTGCATGCTTTACCTGTCCCCAGCCCATGCCAATGTGCCAAGTCTCCCTTAGGACCCCAGCTGAAGTTGGGTGTCTCCACTGGGTTGGGCCAAGCAAGGCCTCTGGTGCCCAATGCTGCCTCTCTGCGGTGGGTACTGCTAGGCCTATGCCAAACGACAGCTGTTATTTTCATGGTTTATAACAATAAACTGTGACGCCAGGCACATCTCTGCCTTCCATGACCCGACCATTCCTCTTGGTTTCTGTGCTGGCAGGCAGGCGTGGTGCACTGTTATTGCTCAGAGCAGAGTGCCTGCTGGAACCAGTACGTGAGAGAAGAAGGTCCCCAAGCCAGGCATACCTGCCACACATGGTTCTGGCCAGGCTGAACTGACCTTGGCCACCAGGTCATGCATCGCTGTGGTAGCTGCTTGCGTCAGGCCTAGTGGGATGTCTGGGTGGCAGCCCTAAGGGAATGTGGTTGAATAGTGTGCTTAGGCCCAAAGGGGTCAGGGAGCTGGAACCATTTCCCCATTCCAAGGGCTCTGAGTAGACCCCAGAACAGGAGGGTGGGGCAGCCATAACCATGGAGGGTGCCGGGACTGGCACCAATCCCCGGATCTGACACACCGCTTATCATGGCCTTGTTGACTCTGCTGCTGTTATCTCTGCTAGAGGACTTACTTAACACCCAAGCAGCTAAGAATAGAGCTGCCCGGGGCACCATGCCAATATGGAAGAGGAAGAGGACATTGCAGGCTGCCCCAGCCCTCTCCCCTGCCCCCTGTGAAACCCAGGCCCGAGAAGCCGGGGAATGTCACAGCCGTGCTGGCAGTCGCGCTGCTGGCCTGCTGGAGCCCATCTGGGTTTCATTTCCTCCTTCCTCCTGTGCCACCGGGCATGGGGGAGAGGTGACTGGGTTCTTCCCCAGCCACTCCTGTGCCCTAATGTCATCTCTCCACGCCTCTTATTTCTCAAATAAACCCTGCTCCTTTCCTTCCTTTCTCCTCCCCCAAAGGCCCTTTCCAGACACCACACACTGGGACCAGCCCTCCTATCTACTGGTCACGGACAACATGGCAGTCACGGATGGCATGGCCGGTCAGAAGTTGGTGGTTAGCACACAGGCGGCGCTCATTTTATTCAGCCATGGTCAGGTTTCCACTCCCAGTGCAGGCTTTCTGGCCTGGTCCTCCTGGGATGCTCTGCACCACTGCCCCAGGCCTGTTTCCCAGGGACCTGGCTGGGCTTCCTCAGGCTGAGGGGTTGGAAGACTCTTGGTAGGCCCTGTGAGGGAAGCTTTGAGCAGCCAGTCTGAACTCCCAGCTCACCGGCCCAGAAGGGAGTTGGGGAGGGGACTCTGGTGCTGAAGGGAGGCACGGGCACTGGTTAGAGAGACTCTCCACACAAAAACGTGCCTCTACAAGTTGGCAGATGTGGCTGCTGGGTTTGTGTAAGACAGGCTGCCGCCATTGCCTGCACAGACCTGGGGGCAGAGGAGAGAAGGGATCCAGGGTGAGGGGCAAAGCTTTCCTGGGGGGCTAGCTTCTTGGGGCCCTGGGATGGCATCCTAAGCTGAGTGATAGGTCTGGGAGCCTGACAACTAACTCTCAAGGGGTTAATTCAGAGAGAGCACCTGCTGGGCACCACCGGCAGCCAGGTGACTGTAAACAGGGCCCCTCCTCCCCCCTCTGCTCCCCTTCACTCCCTCTTTTGGCTCTAGTCAGCCCCCTTGCCCTCCCTTCCTGTACCTGTCTCCCTCTAGTCTCTGCTCCTCCTGCCCAAGGAAGTGTTAGTGTATCTGTGTAAAACTGGGAGAAGGAAGGCCCAGAAAGAGGAAAAATTGGTTCCAGACAAGGAAATTCCTCTCCCCTCCCCCACCTGGAGTGGGGCCACTCCAGCCCCAGGTGGCCAAAGTAATTATTTACCTGGTCCTATAGTGAAAAGCCCAAGGGGGAGGAAGGGCCCACCCTCCCCTGGTCTCCCTGGCCTCCTCACATTGAGCTCCCCTCCCCTCCAGTCTTTCGCCCCATCTACCTTCCAAGTCCTCAGGAGACTAGTGCTCAGTCCTTATGGGTCCTGCATGAAAGTCCCCTTGGGCACAGTGCCCCAGCCCTTTTGCCTCTGGGCAACACTGTGAGCAGCATGAGCAGTGAATGCTGTTCTAGGAACGCTGGGGCGGTGTGGTGGGGGAAGGGGTGGGGGGATGGGAATGCTCCCTCTGGAAAGCTCCCCAGGCCCATCCTTGCCAGCGCCACTGCTTATTTCATGGCACCTCTCACTGCTCACCTTTCATACCCCCTGCCCAGCAAAAGCCTCTGCCTCCTTTCACCTCACCTCCTCAGAGGGGCTCCGTCTGGTACTGCCAGGGGGCACATAGCGTGCGTGGGTGTGATAGGTGGGGTACTCGCTCATGGGATGGTAAGTGTCGCTGGTTGGAAAGAGGTCCAACTGCCCACAGTTCTTCCGGCGACACTGATACACAGCCTGGGGAGACAAGCAGAGACAGGAGGTGGTGGGCCTGTGGAGTACCTTCTAGCAGGAGGACCTTGGTCGGGGCTGGAGAAGGAGCACTTACCAGGGCCATGAGATAGATGACAGCCAGAGTCACCAGAATACAGATCAGCACCAGCAGGGCAATGCCCCAGCCAGGGACCCCAGACCCAGACTGGGCAGAGGAAGGAAGTGGCACACTGTGCACTGAAGGGAAAAGCAGTAATCAGGCAGGCTCCCAAAGGAGGCGGCCTCCCCCTACTAGCCCCCAGGGTATAACAGGAACCCAGCCGCTGGAGAGGGAGGGCACCCGGGCAGCATGGCACTGGCCAGCAGCTGGGGAAGTGGCCTCACCGCTAACTTTTGAGATGGTCAGGTTGTAGCTGGCTGCTTTTGCTTCATGGTCAAGAAGCTGTTTCTTCACCTCATAGGCATCAGTGGCACCCTCTTGTAAGATCAGAACTGATTGTACCACCACAGATCCTGAACTGATCACAGAGAAATGGGCAACTCAGCCCAGTCTCTGGGTCCCACACTTCCCCCAACCATGAGTCTCTCCCCACAACTGTGACAACATCCACTCAGCCACTCAGAGTCCACACCCAGAACTGTACCTGAACTTGATATCAGACAGGCCCACAAAGTTCTGTTTATAAATCTGCAAAAACTGGGGTGAGAGGGGGAGGAATAAGGCTCAATATAAGGGGTTCAAGCATTTCCAAAGGCTTTCCGGAGGATTATGGTGATATAAGTAGAAACTCACCAGCTCAGAGATGTTTCTCTGCAGCTTCTGGTAGTAACTGCTGTTGGGATCCTCCAAGGAAGAGTTAAACTGGAGGTTCACAATGGAAAAAGACAGGAAGAAAAAGGAGAACTTCATAGGGAAAGGAGTATGACTGGGGGAGGAGTAAGGTAGTGTATGACTAGTGCTACTGGCCACAGGCCTGCTGCTATGGGTAGCAGGGGTGGTAGGAGTATCAGAGTAGTGGCTGGGAACTGAGGATGGAGTGCCCTTGCTGGCTGGGGTTGTGGTAGTCTTGGCAGAGCTGCCACTGTGGCCTGGAGTGGTTGAGCCTGAGGCAGGGCTGGTGGCTGAGGCTAAAGTAGTTGAGCCTGAGGCAGAGCTGGTGGCTGGGGCTAGGCTGCCACTGTGGCCTGGACTGGTGGTTGAGCCTGAGGCAGGGCTGGTGGTCAGGGCTGAGATGTTCCTGTGGCCTGGACTGGTGGTTGAGCCCAAGGCAGGGCTGGTGTCTGAGGCTGAGGTGGTTGAGCCTGAGGCAGGGCTGGTTGTCTGGGCTAAGCTGTTACTGTGGCCTGAACTGGTAGTTGAGCCTGAGGCAGGGCCAGTGGCCGGGGCTGAGGTGGTTGAGCCTAAGGCAGGGCTGGTGGCTGGGGCTAAATTGGTTGAGCCCGAGGCAGGGCTCATGGTCAGGGCTGAGGTGTTCCTGTGGCCTGGACTGGTGGTTGAGCCCAAGGCAGGGCTCGTGGCCGGGGCTGAGGTGGTTGAGCCCGAGGCAGGGCTGGTGGTTGGGACTAAGCTGTTCCTGTGGCCTGGACTGGTGGTTGAGCCCAAGGCAGGGCTGGTGTCTGGGGCTGAGGTGGTTGAGCCTGAGGCAGGGCTGGTTGTTGGGGCTAAGCTGTTACTGTGGCCTGGACTGGTGGTTGAGCCTGATGCAGGGCCGGTGATCCGGGTGGAGGTGATTGAATCCGAGGCAGGGCTGGTGGCCAGGGCTGAGGTGGCTGAGCCTGAGGCAGGGCTGGTGGCCAGGACTGAGGTGGTTGAGCCTGAGGCAGGGCTGGTGGTCAGTACTGAGCTATCACTGTTGTCTGGACTGGTGGCTGAGCCCGAGGCAGGGCTGATGGCCGGGACTGAGGTGGTTGAGCCTGAGGAAGGGCCGGTTGTGGTCGGGGCTAAGGTGGTTGAGCCTGGAGAAAGGCCATCAGCAGCAGAGTGTGAGTTACTGGTTATCTTCATATCATTTCTGTCAATGGAGTGGGGCACTGAGGTGCTTTGGGTAGTCAAAGGCTGAGTATTTCTGCTGTGACCTGTGTTGTCAGAGACTGTAGAAGCCATTGAAGGGATAGGGCTGGTGGCTGCTGTAAGAAATTGAGGTCAAAGGGCTGGGTCAGGAACACGTTAAAATAAGTAGAAAATACATTTTCTCGCATCCAGAGAAGTAATGCCGGGGCACTTGGGAGTAGGCGCCTGGATCAGCCCTCCTGCTGCCTCCTGGCTGGCACCCTCCTTCTTCCCATTCTCCTTGAGTGTATTTCTCCACTCACGAGATTTACCTCTCCTGACTTTCCCACCCCACCACCAGACTTCTCTTCAGGACATTGGCCTACCCCTTGGCACTCACTCTCCTGAGGGACCATCTCTTCTTAGCCCAGCCCTAGCTTCTTGTCTTTTTTGGGCACAAAATATCTCACCCTGTCTGCAATCCTGACTCTTGTGCTTCCATCTGTCAGGAAGCAAAATCCACAGAAAGGCTGGGAAGAGCACATGAACAGAGCAGGGCAGCCCCCTTCCCACCCTGTGCCCCTCACCTGTAAGCTGTAGGAAGAGCAGCAGCGAGAGGAAGCAAGGGGCCTGGGTGCCTGGTGTCATGGTGGTGCTGGGCTGGATGGGAGGGGGGCCAGAAGAGACTCAGGAAGGCGCTGCGCTGCGTGTGAGTTGGAGTGCACAAGCGCCTGCTGCTTTATACCGGTCCCCCGCCCGCCCTAGGCTCAGCCAGGCAGGTGACAGGTGACAAAACTCCGCCCCCTCCCCCTTTCCCTACCTCCTACTTCTTCCTCCTCCTCCCAACGATTCCTGGCCCCTCAGGTTGGGTACCTGGGGCTCCAATCACTCAACCTTCTGACAACTTGTTTGTTTTCCAAAAGGTCTCCCCCTTTCACCAACCACTCCCTGGCTCCAGACGGTGGTGTTGGTGGTGGTGAGGCTGAGATCTGGGTCTCCATGGCTCTAGTTTTAGCTCCAGGTGAGAAAAGGAACAGAGAAAGTGGTTAGGTCAAGGTCCTGGACAGAAACCCCGGGAGCTCACCCTCAGGAGCCCCACACCTCTGGTACTCCACTCCTGGGGCTGAGAAGAAAGGAGAAGACTTGCCAATGAGAGGTCTAGGTGCTAGTTGGGGCCCCCTCCCCCACCACTTCCCGGAACACAAGGCGCACCCTTGTAGCCGCTCCCTGTCCTGTTCCATAAGCACTTCTACCCTGAAAACCAGAGTCCCCGCCCCTGCCAGATTTTTCTTCCTTGACTTCCCCCGAGAAGGGGGCAGGGGAAGAAATTTCCACTTAAATTTGCACGTAGCCTGGTCTGCACCTAGCCCTAGGGTCTTTCCTTCCACGGGCGGCCAGCGGGCTCTCCTGCCCTCTAGCGGTCACCGGGGCCCCTGGCGGCCTGCCGCGACGCGCAGAGGGGCTGCGATGGGCCCGCGGAGAGGAAGCTGGGCGGCGCTGCCCAAGTGGGGGCGAAGGGAAGCTGGGGTAGGCAGGACCGGCGAGAAGAATTAGTGGATTGGTCAATTACGGGGGCAACGTACTGTACCCAGTATCAATGGAGGGGCTGGGAGCTTTCGGAGGGGACTCTGGGTATGCGGGAGTGTTGTCTGGAGAAAATCGCGTTAAGTGGGTGGGGTCCTGAGGTATGTGGGAGGGAAACCAGGTATTTGTGAGAGAGGACATCGGAATGTGGGAAGGGGGATGGGGCAGTTTACTGGAAGAATCACGTTTTTAGGAGGCTAAGTTGGGGCGATAGGATGACATTGCGGGCACAGAACCATACTTTGGGGAGCAAAGATATAGGCAGATGGTGGTAGGTGGGAGCAAAGTTCTCTGTAAGGGTGCGTGATTTGGGAGGGCTATTTTATTATTTTACCATAGAACTGGGGTGTAGGCCAGAGATTGGGGGGGCGTGAGAGGATTCACCAGAGACAGAGTGGGGAGCAGAACAGGCGGATTTACGGAAACACACTGCTAAGGGGAGCAGGGGCGGGACAGGAGAGGCCTGCCGCGCCATATGTAGGTGAGCTCACCGGCCGGGGATTGAACTCAGGCTGCGGTGGTGATAGCGCTGAGACTTAACCTCTAGGCGACCAGGGAGGCCACAGGCTAAGAGGTATATTGAAGGGCAGAAATATTGGGGACTAGAGAGGTGTTTGGGGAACACACTGGCACGTGGAGGTTAGGGTATAGGCCCAAGCTTAGGGTCCTAGGTTTGCGATCCGGACGGACGGAAGTAGTTACGTCCGCATTAGGAAAACAATTCTTAGCCTCGGCGAATGCAGACTGAAAACACTCGAAAAACAGTTCGGCGAGAAGGGATTGGAGGTTAGCCTGGTCAGGAGCCCACCGACCACGGTTCCCAGCCGTGCGCCGCTCCAGCTTATTAGCGCGGCTTTGTGCCGCAGCCCGCCCTGGGGGGGGGGGAATTTGGGGGGGGGAGTCCGCTGACATCAGCGCGCCAGGGGCCGGAGAGGCGGGGAAGCCCCTCCACCCGCAAGCCCATGAAAGCGCGAGTATCTAGGTGGGCGGCCCCAAAACTTCAATCCTGGCGTTGCCAGGCAACAGCCATTCAGTTCGGTTGCTGGGACACGCGTCACCATGGCGACGGCTCCGCGCCGCGCAGTCTGAGTATTTAAAGAGCAAGCGCGCGCAACGCCTGAGCGTCGGAAAACCGCCTTCCGGGGTAGCGCGGTCTCCCCGTCCCCTCTCCCTTTCCCCTTTACCATTCCCTGCACCCCCTTTCGGACGTCAGGGCCCTCTGGTCTCCCAAGTGAATTCAACTCCCCAGCGCGCCCTGGTTCTTAGGCTGATCCGACTTCAACTGGTGGTGAGCGGGATCCTGGGCCCCGGGCGGGCGGGAGGGACGGGACGCGGTGCAGTGTTGTTCTTTCCCCCGCCAATATTGCACTCGTCCCGGCCTCCGGCCCCTCCGGCCCCCCGGCCTCCCCCTCACCCCGAGCTGGGCAGCCCCAGCCCTCCTGGCTCTCGATCCCGGCTGATCTAAGATAGATTGGAGTGTCGCCGCTGCCACCGTGAGTAAGTGGGGCTGGAAGAACTTTAACCTTGCTCCGACCAGCGCCTCATACTTCACCTAACCCCTCCCCCACCATCCTTCACCTAACCCTCATGCTGCATCTTCCTCACTGTGCCCCACTCTCAGCTAAAGTTCCTCTAGTTCTCTAACTCCCATCCTGCCAGTCCTCTCCCTTACCCCCCTTCAAGTTCCTTTTTGCTTCCCACACTATTCCCGAAAATCCCTAAAATAAGCAATTGCACTGACTTAGAAAACAACGGAAACTTTATGGCAATGTGCTGTTATCTTTCCTGGGGTTAGTGCCTGAGAAATACCCCTTGAAAACTTCCCATCTCCTGAAGAGCGGGATCACCATCCATCTCGGGCTGAACTGTTGATGGGTGCCAGAGAGGGATCCTGTATTGGCAAAGAGGCTGTAGATTAGACTCCGGGGTCTCCAGGATAGACCCCAAGGCCAAAGGGTCTAAAATCAGAATTCTGAGTCTGGTGGCCACTTCTTCATACTCTGCCCTCGAGAAGCTGCCTCCGGAAGGGCTCAAAATCCTCGGGCACTGTGTCTGAGGAAGGAGAAATGATTAAGGTCAGAAGATGTGACTGTTCCAGAAGGGTAGGAGAGGTCAGGCTGATCTTGGTCTAGAACCTCACCATTGCATCTATACTGGAGATTGGACCAAATGATGTTTTCTTGGGAGAAGCAGAATACACCAAGACGCCCCCCTCTCATGGAAGTGTCAATGATCACCCCAGAATCCGCCACTAGCTGGGGTCCCTCATAGAGCTTCACCCTGTCCAGAATAGGGGTGTCCATTGGTGCTAGGGGGCCAGTGGGCACTGTGCCACCAAGCCCAGGCCTTGCTCATCTCCCAGGCCTTGCTCATCCCCAAACCCCCCCCCCTTGAGCTCAACAGGCTAGAGAAGGGAAGGGGGGAGGGAGAAAGGGATGGGGTGGGATGGGGGGGGTGCTTTTCTCAGGCCTGGGGCCCCTGGCTCTTTGTCCAGCCCCCTTTGCATCTCAAAGCACCAGCCACATTCCTAGCAAGGATTGGGTTGCCATGACAATGAGCACAAAGGACTGGGGGGTGAAGTCACCCGCTTCCCAGGCTTTAGTCCACCCCCCTTATCCCCTGTCCTGGCGCCCTGCAGCCCCAGGCACCTTAAAGGGGAATCAACCCAAGTCCCTGTCTCTGGGCTCTTAGTCATTTCCCCTCCCTTCCCTGTCATCTTCACCAAAAGGAAATGAAAATTGTGGACAAAAGGCCATGAAGTCTGGGCCTCAGTTTGTCAATTTGTTCTTCTGTAAATAAGGATCCCTTCCTGGTCAGACTCATGAGGCAGATCCAGGCTGTACCAATGAAGGGGCTGGATGTGATGTGTTTCTCTAGGATCAGAGGCTCCCAGACATGCCCTCATTTTTCAGAGGGCACAGAAAGAAATGACTTGCCCACACTGCTTATAGATCCTCTTAAGAGCAGCCCCAGAACCCAGGCTGTCTGCTGTTAGGAGGGCAGAGCCAGGGCAGCATGTCTGTGGTGAGAGGAGAGACAGAGGGAAAGGGCCCCAGTCTGGGTCCATGCTCCAGGAACTGAGTGGAGGGGAGTCCACTGGTGAGTCCCAGCTACAGGAGAGCCAGGCCTGGGGTTCTTCTGGAGGGCTCAACCCCTCCCCTCACCGAATGTAGCCAACTTGAGGCCTGTGCAGCAGCTGCCAGCGGTAGGAGGTCTTGTCACGCCAGCCCACGTTTCGTGGGTCAGTCCACAGCAGTCGTACCTGATCAGGGGTATGGCCAGTATGCCATAGGGCATTCCGGAGGTGCTCACCTGGGCCGGACACTGATGTCACTGCCTGGGGGTGGGGGGGGACAATAGCAAACAGTGAATTAACCATAGGCCCCCCAAAAGAGAGACGGCTGGTTGGTAAGTGCAGGTGGAAGAGGAAGTTGGTGGTCAGGAGGATGTTCTGGAGCCCCAGGGAGCCAACCTCCTGGTCAGATGTCTACATAAGAGGGTTCCCACTCAAGCAGTGGGGGAAGCCCTAGCCTTAGCAGGGAGGTTTGGGGGAAGGACTCTGGGTTGGGGAGTCTGGATAGCTGCGGGACCTTGAGCTGCAGCCCGGGCTGAGCAACAGCCCGGAAAGGTGTGGCCTGCCAGTACGTCTGCTCCGTTTGCTTCCACATGACCACGTAGAAGCGGCCGCTGTCCTGATAACTGAAGAGAAAGCCTGCGTAGTCATCATCAGTTACTGTGTTCACATGGAAGGTGCCTTCAAAGTCCACACCGTTGAAGGCTGTATATCCTGGTGGGAGGGGTGGGTGGGTGGGATCAAGGTCAGGGGCAGCAAAGCTACTGTTGGCCTGTTGCAGAGTGGGGATGTGTGTGAAGGAATGTCTGCTATGTGTAGCCAGCTTGCCCCTCTACCCTCTGCCCCCGCAGGTTTACTCCATTTGGAAACTATTGAACGCTTACATACCAACTGCCAAGCCGGGGTCACTGTTCATGGTCTGAACGATTTCCATGCCCTAGTGGGGTGCAGTAAAGAAGAAAGCCCTGATTAGGTGCACTACCCCACCGAGGCCCCAGCTGGTAGTCTGACCCGACAGTACCCACCCAGCCCACTGCCCTTGTACCTGGTTGAGCACAACCCAGTTTGGGTCAATCTGAGCATCACCCTCAGGATCCAGGACGACCGTCTGATAGGCCCGGAAATCTGTGAGGGTTACTTCTGCACTTTCAGGGCACACGTCCAGGGGATCAGCCACGGCATCATTGTCAAAGTCATTCTCACACACATCACCAACACCATTGCCTGGGCAGAGTAAGGCTA